GCCCAGCAGGTCGAGGCCGACACGATAGAAAGGCTCGGCAGGTACGTCGATCGGTTGAAGGAGCCCGGCGGGGTGTACCGCTGGCCTTTTGCGGCGTTGGCACGACTCACAAGACCTAACATAACGTTGTACAGAACGGTAGAGGCCGGGCCAGAAAAAGCGTCGGCGGACACGGTCGTACGTTCTGGCAACACCAAGGTGGCCAGCCGTTGGTACATCATGTAGTTGCTGAAGTACGGTCGAGTGCAAATGAGTGGGTATTACGAGTAGTAGTTCGTTTCCCACATGGTGCATGTTGCGGCGGTATAAAATGCCGTCTATGACAACGAACATGCGAAGCGAACTGTCTGTACAGCCTGTGTTCAGGCGGTCGATTAGCTCGCGTAGGGACGCGTCACGCCGTTGCTCACATCCCATGTTGGCGAAAGCAGAGAGCGAGGAAATACAGATGGACGCGTCGTCGGTTACTAGATCTGGAGCGTCAACGGGGTACCGAGAGAGGCAGTCGGCGTCTTGGTGTAAACGGCCAGACTTGTAAACCACTGTGTATGTGAATTCCTGGAGGCGCAGAGCCCAACGAGCAAGGCGCCCCGTTGGATCTTTGAGGGCTGAAAGCCAGCATAGAGCGTGATGGTCAGTGGTAACTGTGAAAGGCCGGCCATATAAATAGGGGCGGAATTTACCAACTGCCCATACAAGCGCCAGGCACTCGCGTTCCGTAATAGAGTAATTGCGTTCGGCAGGAGAAAGGAGCCGGCTGGCATACGCAAGAACTCGATCGTGACCGGATTGACGCTGGGCTAAAACCGCGCCAATACCGTAGCCACTAGCATCAGTGCGGACCTCGGTTGGAGCAGACGGGTCGAAGTGGGCGAGAATCGGTGGCGTGGTCAGAAGTGTTATGAGCTGGGAAAAGGCCGTGCCTTGATCAGGACCCCACTCAAATGGTACATCTTTCTTCAAAAGATCAGTGAGGGGGCGTGCGATCTCTGCGAAGTTTCTGACAAATCGTCGGAAATATGAGCATAGGCCCACAAAACTTCGAACGTCCTTGACACAAGTCGGTACAGGAAAATCCAGGACAGCTCGGACTTTGTCGGGATCGGGGCGGATGCCGGAGGAGTCAACGAGATGCCCTAGAATAGTAACTTGGCGATGCCCAAAATGGCATTTCGAGGAATTAAGTTGGAGCCCAGCCTCTCGAAATACTGAAAGAATTGAGGAAAGGCGCTCGAGGTGAGACTTAAAGGTTGGGGCAAACACAATCACGTCGTCCAGATAACACAGGCAGATAGACCATTTAAAGCTGCGCAAAAGCGTGTCCATCATCCGCTCGAACGTTGCCGGCGCATTGCACAAGCCAAACGGCATTACCTTGAATTGGTAGAGACCGTCAGGCGTTACAAAGGCGGTCTTCTCCCGGTCGAGGTCGTCCACGGCGATCTGCCAGTAACCGGAGCGTAAGTCTATCGAAGAAAAATAGGTTGCGCCATGAAGGCAGTCCAGGGCATCATCAATACGAGGAAGCGGGTAGACATCCCTTTTGGTGACCTTGTTTAAATGCCGATAGTCCACGCAGAAACGCCAGGTATTGTCCTTCTTTTTAACTAAGACTACAGGGGACGCCCACGGACTCGATGAGGGCTCTATGATGCCTTTTGTGAGCATCTTATTCACCTCCTGTTGGATAACTTGGCGTTCTGATGGTGACACTCGATAGGGACGCCTGTGAATTGGAGCTGCATCACCGGTATTAATGCGATGTTTGACTTGCGATGTTTGACTTATGGGCCTACCGTCAAAGTCAAATATGTCCGAATAGCTCGTGAGAAGATCAGTGAGGTCTTTGACCTGAGACGGCAAGAGGTCTGAGGCAATCATCTTAGTTACATTGTTGAGCCGTGTAGATTTGGCTGCGTCGGTGCTATGCGGGTTCGGCGAGGCGACTGTGGCCAGTTCACGTGACACTGATGAGATCTGGCACTCGTGTGACGGTGAAAGAGTGGCGAGAACAATGCCTTGTGGTAGGATTTGAGGGCTGAGTCCGAAGTTCAGAAGAGGAAGGCACGTCTTGTTCGCTGTGACAGCTAATATGGTGTACGGGGAGGAAACGTTGCGGGCCAATAAAACACCGGGAGAGGGAAAGACCACGTAATCCCCATCCGGAACACTGGGATATGGTTCAACTGTGACACAAGTTAGGGCTTGGGGTGGGAGGCGAACAAACTCAGCGCACGAAAGCTTGTTCTGTACCATCTTCGACTCTTCGGTGGCCGCAGGCAAGTCAAGTTGCACGACGCCGGCTGAGCAGTCAATTACAGCGGAGTGGTCGGACAAAAAATCGAGTCCAAGGATGACGTCATGTGGACAGTGAGCGAGAACATGGAATAGAACGGACGTCTGGCGGTCGGCGAATCTCACACGCGCGGTGCACATTCCGAGCACAGCCGGGGTCGCTCCACTAGCGACACGTACAAATAGGGACTCTGGCGGCGTAAGGACCTTGTTTAATCGTGCACGGAGGTCAGAACTCAGAATTGAAATATGTGCGCCGGTGTCAATAAGGGCAGTAACAGGAAGGCCATCCACTTCTACATCAAGCAGGTTCTTGTCCGTAGTCAAGGTCAGCAGAGGGTTTTCAGGTCGGGAGTCCAATGCAGCGTCACCTCCGGGAGCTGCATTGCTCAGTTTTCCGAAGAAGGGCGTCCACTAGGGTGGGGCGACGAATAGCGGCGGTGCTGAGGTGACCTGGAGCGACGGTCATGCGGGGACGGCGAACGGCTGGACCGGCGGACTGGTGTCGCAGGAGTGCCATTGTACGGTCCATCGTCACGAGCGCTGTACTGCAGGGGCCGGTGGTTGTCGTCACGTCGATAGCCAGGAAACGACCGAGGTGGATACGTGCGGAAACGACAGTAGCGGGAGATGTGTCCTACACCATGACAATGAAAACATATAGGCTTGTCGTCCTGTGTCCTCCACTGAGCAGGATCACGATAGCGGCGGAATCTTTCTGGTGCAGGAGAAGGCGCTATGGTACTGACCCGAGGTTCCGTCAACGAACACACAGGCTGCAGCCCAACGTTTGCCAGCTCCTCTCTCACGACCTGTTGGATCAACGAGATCGTTGGTCGATCATCAGATGGGCGGGTCAGAAAAGACGGAGACGCGGCCTCGATTTCTCTACGAACGATGCGAACCACACTTTCGTTGTTATGTGGTTGACTGCATGGCGGCTGAAGGTCCTCGCAAGATGACGTAGCGGCCGTGTTCGGAAGTCGCAAGAAATTCTTGGCGACCCGGCGACTCTTCAGCTCTTCGAATCGGCGGCACTCTTTGATGATGTCATCAATGGTGGAACAGTCTTTGGAAACCAGTATGTTAAAAGCATCATCTGCAATGCCTTTAAGTAAATGGCTTACTTTGTCTTCCTCGGACATGTTGGGGTCGGCACGATGGCAAAGGGCGAGAACGTCAAGGATGTAGGTGACATATGATTCGGTCGTAGTTTGTGCCCGACCAGAGAGTTCTTTAGAAGCGGCCCGCTGGCGTCCGACGGCCTTACCAAACAGGTCACGAAGCTTCTGTTTGCAAGTATCCCAGCTGGTTATGTCCGCTTCATGAGCCTCGAACCACGCGCCAGCTGTTCCGCAGAGATAGAAGCCAACGTTGGCGAGCATCATCGTAGGGTCCCACCGGTACACTGCTGCAAACCGCTCGAACTTCGGAATCCAGTCGTCAACGTCAACATGGTCGGTGCCGCAGAAGTTGCCAGGGTCGCGCGGTTGCGTCAATACGACCGGCTGTACAGGCTGCGCCGGAGTCGCGGCTGAAACAGGAGCGGCAGAATTGGTTTCTGTTGCCATGGTCGGGCAGTCGAGAACACGTCCGCTTCGAAGTTCCGTCTTGCGTCGTACCCAGCGCCACCACCAAAATGTTGCGAATGTATTTACTACTTTAGAGTAGAAAAGTACTCCAGCAGTCAAGATGGCAGCCGTTGTGTATTTCGAACAGCCCAAAAAACGTCGTCGTCTTCTTCTTCGCACCGCCCGCATAGCTGCATAGCCGCGAACCCGCAACAATATTTTTCACTTTGGTTAGCACTGAAGATCACGCGAGTGGCATAAAAGCTAGTGTTCGCAGTCACTGAGTCAGATGACCCCGCATAATTGTGTATCTATGCATATAGTAATTTATTAAACAAGTCTCTACCAGAAACAATTAGGTGGATGAAACTAGCACCTACATATACTGAGTCAAAATGCCTTATTACCAGTTTTAGGACTGAATTTGTCAGAAAACGCAGGCTCTTTCTTTAACCAAGCAAATTTCTATAGTTGATTAGCAGTAGTAGTAATGTAGGTAACTATATTCGTCACGGAAAATTGACCGTTTCCTTAAATAGTAAAATTTCTATAGTTCATTAGCAATAGCAGTGATATAGGTAACTATTGCCAAGAGCTAGCTCTCAATAGTGTTGAAAGTGCTGCATACTCCAAGAAACAAAACAGAACTACATTTGTGATGCCACTCGCAGTTTTCTGATGCCTTAAAATTGTGGCTGGCATTATTCGTCACTTTGTTTTCTCGATGACAACCTGAAAAAAGTATTTCGTATGAGAATTCGTGACCTATTTATATCTAACGAGGGCATACGTGCTGTAATTTTTATTGTTAACTAGATTGTTCACACGTTTGAATACATTTAAGCAGGTACACCTAAATGATCACAGCTTTCGCATGAAGCTCGAGTTGGTTCAAGGGGAAAAAAAGTTGCATGTAAAAATTGATTTTTATTTTAGGTGAAGGGTGCGTATAAGTGAAGGTGAATGCTTTTTCAGCAAAATTATAATGAAAAGTAGTCACAAAACAGTCATCGCGTCTGATCAAACGCATTCAAATGGTGTTCACTCACAGTTTATTCAAAATTGTAACCGTCAGAAGACTAACCAGACAGCCTGTGTGTGATAGAATATAAAATGAACTGAATATTGACTCACGATGCGCCCCTCATTTTGCCATGAGTGCTGTTAATTTTCCCATAGCAAGTCCACCGTTTGCACGTCTTTATCTCGTACGTGCTTTGTTCAACGCCGACTTTTTCGCCATTGAAGATGCACTTTCCTTTAGGAAATAATAAAGACGCAATTAGTAAGAAAAACAGAGGGTTTAAACAATTGAACATCAGCCTACCTACTCAATTATTTCTGCCAAAATTATGCTCACAAAAAAGAGCCACTTACAGCGAACCCTTGAAGAGTGGCCTTTGCAGAAAAAGCTGTATACTTTTTTGCGGAAAGTCAAGCAGTACGCTTATAATTCCATGAGTAATCCCATTTTTTGTAAAGTAGTATTGCGACAAGCACTAACGTTTCCATTATTCGCCGTTGTGTTGGGAAGAGTGAGAGGGACAAAGCACTTCCTGAGCATACGTGCCGACACCGCTACGCATCTGTAAGACATTCGGTGTATTAGGAGGGGCACGCGGGCACAGTGCGCGTGCCGCACTAGCCCGGCTGTGGTCAAAAAAGTCTGATAAATTTGAAAAACACTTCGGGAGTGTTTTAGCTCACCTATGCCAGGATGTACTTATTGCTACGTAGCACCACGGATAACTCGAAACTCGATAAGGAAGAGGACGATGTCAGAGCTCTCGTGCAGACTGGGTTCCATCTTGCATGCCTGCATGTTTTCTCGATAGTAAACACATTTCTCCGACGCCTTTTCCCCGTAACATTTTGTTGGAGAGTGCGGGCCCTCCCAGAATCAACATCCACAACAATTCTACGAAGCGGGTGTTCCTTGGCTGTCTCTACGATGGCTGATCACGACGAGAACGACCGTTCGTCGCCACCTTCCCCAAGCGTGCCTCGTCAGACCACGCAGCGTCCAACAGCGTCGCATCCAGCCGTAACGAACCGCACCGTCGTTCTGACGACTCCACATGACCCAGGTACCTTTTCCGGGTACGACGACAAGGATGTCGAAAAATGGCTTCAGCTATACGACCGGGTCAGTGCACTATATACAACTGGGACCCGACGCTCATGTTGGCCAATATTCTATTTTATCTTGAGGGTGCGGCCAAAGTCTGGTATCATTCATGAGCTATGAATGGATGGCCGGATGAATGGATGGAGAGATGAACGGACATAGGGACGGACAAAAAGACAGGGAGACAGGCATAGAGACAGACAGATGGACAGACGGATGGACGGATAGACCGGCGAGCAAGCTCAAGCGAGCAAAGCACCAAGCCATAGCGACACATCGCCCTAGGAGCTCATAGTCTTACTCCGGCGCGCCAACTGTGCGCCATGTGCCGTCACAGCTCCTCGGGCATGAGCAGCACGGCTCCCGATAAGTCACACGAAACTGCTCAACCTCGGCCAGAATAGCTTACGCTACAAAGCATTCCTTCACCAAGAACTAAAATTACTACCACGAAAAAAGGTGGCAGAGGTGGAAGAGACTTTACGCAAAACTTCACAAAGGGAGCTGCAGTGACAGATAAACTAAGTGGACAGAACTAGAAGGCTTAACTTGAAAATTCGTAGGATATACTTAGTTCAGAATTAAACTCAGTTGCATCACCGAACACAGTCGCTGACAAAGAAGAGGCAAAAAAAAACAAGTCACAGCTGTGCCGCAAAGGTCAAGCAATGAACGCGATAGCAACAAATTGGAAGGTCACGCGCAGAATGGCATGCAGATTTAAACGTGTCCCGTGTTTCTCACGCATAAATGACGCACGAAACGTACTCACAAGGAAAATCAACTCGAATAAGCGTCTCAGCTGTCACTTCGCTGTGTCTGAAAGGCACGCCCTTTTCGCGAACGAAGCCCGTGCAACGATTGCAGTGACCTTTGTGTGCCTGGTAACTACCAACCACATAATCGTTCCGGTGAAAGTTCAAGGCCAGCCAAGACGTACTGTTCCCCCACCACGAGACAAGCGCACGCGTAAGTGTCTACCCTACCCCCTCTTCGCGGGGAAAACTACGCGTGGGAGATGACAGCGTGCGCCGCTGCGTCGTCGCGATGTGCCGACGCGCGCTCATTGCGCCATCTTGGTGGTAATGCTGAAAACACGATAGTTTCCCCCGAGATTTCTCTCACTAGAGGTAGAGAGAGATATATATGGTATGAGCAAAGGCAGGAAGGTTAACCAGAAAGCAATTGTCTGGTTTGCTACCCTGCACTGGGGAAGGGGAAATGAGAGACAGAAAAGTAAGGGAAAGCGAATGAGAGAAAGAGAGCTGGATGGAAGGGAAAGCACACAAACACACTAAAACGTCACAAACGTTCGACGAGGTGGGTCAATCACTAAAACTTCAGGAGGGCCTTCGTCGCTCTTGCGCGTGAAGCTCGATCTTTCCGGTATTCGAATTTTTTTTTTCGGAAAGCGGCTTCTCATCAAGGCGTGCAAACGCTGCTGACAGGGACTGTCTCTGACAATTACTGAGGGCACTGACACAAAATATTTTCTATGGTTTCGTCACCACCGCGATTCTCACACGCAGCACTGTCTGACCATCCGATGCGGCAAACAAAGGCGTTCGCAAAAGACACCCCAAGCCGCATGCGAAATAAAACGGTTGTCTCGTATCTGGATAAGCCAGATGAAATGGAAAGTCGGTGGTATGGGTCCAGACGGTGAAGACGTGTGTGTATAAATCTGGGCGTGTTCCACAGAGACCTGGTGACATCGTGCGCGAGCGTGTTAATCCTTGCTGCTGCGTCGCTTCTTGACAGTGGAATGCGATCCATCATGCCATTTTCGTGAGCGTTCTTTGCAGCGTCGGCACGCTCGTTATGGATGACTCCGCAGTGGCCTGGTAACCGTTGAAAAGTTACATCGTGTCCTTTCTGTAGTACTTGCTGATACAATTGTCTTGTTTCCACCACCCACCAATTGGTCTTGAGGTCCACCCCGTAGCACAGTTAGAATACAATACACAGCTAGTTTCGAATTGGTGAAAATGCTCCATTTTAGGGGTGCTTCTTTATCAATCCTGCGGAGTGTACAGCGGAGTGCTGCGAGCTCTGTGGCTGTCGGTATTGTTTTGTGAGCCGTTTGAAATTGGATGGCTTCGGCTTCTCCTGGGAAGATCACAGCGCCTGCAGATCTCATAACATTTGTCGAACAATCCGTATAAAGTTTAGCGTGGTAATTGTATACTTCGTGCAGGATATGTAGAGTCAGCGGTTTCAACGCTGGTGTCGAGAAATCCGACTTTTTTCGAATTCCTGGCACTGTCAAGGGTAAGTTTAGACGGCCTAAACACCATGGGGTTGTCAGGATACGTTCCGAAGGTGTGTCGCCTACTGGAGGGCACTCACGGTAACTCAATACTCTGTAACAGAAGGAGGCACTTGGTCGACTAGAGCTAAATGTTAGATATAAGCAGCTTGCTGTTTGAAAGTTAAAAGAGGTGCTTCTTCATGGCTCAGTGGCTAATGCCTCGCACTCACGATTCAGAGGTCCCACGTTCGATTTCATGCACCGGAGTCATTTTCTGGATTGTTTTTCTTTCTTGCGTTTTCATATATATAGATACGTATAGATATATCGTGAGTGACGGTGACACCGATGCCAGCGGCAAAATCTATTGGAGAGTGTTCAGATAATCGCCATCGCATATAATAAGGTATCTAATCACACTCCCAGCAAAACTGGAGACACTACCAGCAAAATTCTTGAGTTTGTTCAAAAACAGATTAGAAATGCACGAAGGTCTACCACGGCGGTATATTAGCGACGATGCTGAGCTGCTGAATCAAAGGTCATGGCTTGGATTCCGGCCGCGTCGGTTGCATTTTTGATGGAGCTAAAACGGTACAGATCCGTCTTCCAGGCACTGTCAGTGCACGTTAAAGAGCCTTAGAGTGAAGTAATTTACTGAAGCGCTTGGATGCGGTGTCTCTTATACTCTTATGAAAATTTTGAACGTATAACCCCCAATATGGTTATTATCACCGTCTTTTTACCTAGCGTGGCCGAGTACAAGTTGCACCAGTTTTTTTCTTTTTGATCAGCTCATTTCTTTGTGGGGACGAGGGTGGAAGAGGATGTTGTGAACCAGGGTTGAGAAACATGTGATACGCAGCTATATTGTCACAATCCCTTTCTCTGCAAGATAACAAAAATTAAACGTAATTTGATTCGCTGGCAGTGGCCTGTGGTGACTGCGCTTACTTCAACCCACTCGGTAAGAAGCAAATTGAGGAATGAAACTTAGAGAAGGATACAACTAGCACAACAAGAGCGGCGTTTCGATTACCAAATGCGTGTAACTGTGCCAGTGTTCACTGTAGGCTCAAACGCAAATGCAACCTATTAGGTAAACTGCGTATAATTGTGTGGGTCCCACTTAAGATTTGCAACAAAGTCTATAATGAAACGCTGAGGGCATAGTATCTGAAAAAAAAAAAACCCAGCCGCACATATATTTCGCTCGTGACAACTGGGTCGACAAAAGCTAGACCTCAGCCGATTGTTATGACCTGGCCACTGAATAATTATAGACAGATAGAAAAGGCTGTACTCGTTAGAAACTCTTATTTTCTTCACATGTTCTAAATGCATTTTAAAGGTGGACCTCGTGGTGATCAGCGCAAAAAAAGGACAGAAAAAAGCAAGTAAGTGCCACACCGTGCTTTTCCGTGTATATCATTTTTAATTTTGTGCTGATTGTCATGAGTATACGTCTACTATCCATATTTCCTACATTACATAGGGTGCTCCTGCAACACATTTTCAAGTAGTGCTGTAATGGCTTCATGATAAGAGCTTATTGATCGAAATAGCGTCTACCATGAACATATATACTATCCGCCAAGTAGGAGCGATGTTACAGAGTTCTTCCGCACGCTGTAAGCGTTTCACGTATCCTTTCATACCAGCTAGTAAACTAAAACCGCGCTGGGAACCAACGACGTAAAGGCTAGCAAATGTGCCTCTTCACCAGCTCAATTCATGATTTTAAGCAGCTTCTTGTAATTTTTTCGTGGAATTAGCGAGCTACTTTCCGTATGATTGCCAGAGCGTTAACTGAAAGGTGGCGGCCTCCCGTATTGGTCACAATAACTACGCAGTGCGAAAGAAGAAAGGGTAGAGAAGG